ACTTGATTTCAAAATACAAGATATCAGAAATAAAACAGAAAACAACAACAAAATTACATTTGTAAAGCTCCTTTCATGTCGGGAGGATGTCCCAAGACAGTTACGTACCCGAGCCCTTAATATACAAAATGAGGGTATATTCATGAATAGAGGGCAGCTGACTGTGTCAAGGCTTGAAAACATCAAGCGAGGAGTGACATCAGAGCGAGTGTGGTCTCTAGCATACAGAACAGTATAGTACAGAGTCTAAATTTTAACACAGTGCAGTCTCACAGCTCTAACACACCAAGTTAACAGTTTACAGCTAGCCAGAGCTCTAACCTAGGGAGCAGCATGGCACAGAGTCATAGCTTGAGCACATATGGTATGGATTCAGAGCTGTACTGTACTAGGCAAAGAAAGGTACACTTTACAGCATATTCTGTGAAGCGCTTTGAGACGTCTCGTAAACATGATAAGGAACTACATCAACTGCAAGGACTATTATTATGTCTGTCACTCAGCGTGAAAGTGGCAGATACGTACACTTTATCTATGCCACTGTGGGACGGGGACAGTAGTGAAGCGAGGGAAGGGAGGGTGCTCTCCCACAGACCTCGGAGGCAGTTTCACATCACAAAAGTCTTATTGTACAAAACTTCCATCCAATCACACTGACAGATCTCGGCATGCCCATTTTTTGAAAGGAGCCTCGTTGTCTGGGAGGAAGTAATACGAAAATTAAGATTTGATCTTTTTTTTTGGGTGCACCAGGATAATAACAGTCAATTCACTTTATAATATAGCACTTCGAAGACGTGATAAGGCCCTATATAAAATGCAAGGATTATTATTATTAATATTATAACATGGCAGCCAATTTGCACGTAACATCTATTTCCCAAACCAAGCAAGTGAGAAGAAACCAGTTCTAGAGCGGGGTATGAAGGACCGGCAGGTTACTGAAATGACAAGTGTATTTATAGAGTGATAGGACAAATCCAACTCAATTCCACCTGCTTTTTATAGCAAACTGGCATGATCTCTCAGCACAAATATACCCTGACCAATTACTACCATAAACACAACTGTGAATGCTATATGTATGCCTGAGCTGCTGGCCTATGTCTTGGGAGCGTTGGGAAGTCCTCCCGATGTGAAAGGCGCTTTACAAATGTAATTTTGTATTGTATGTCGATTTAACTGATCTCAGCCACAGAAGCACTTGGATCAGTACAATGTCCCTGGGTTGTAAAAGGGATAAAAATCTGTCAGAATTTGCACCCCCGACTGCTATTGTTAGACTCCTGCTGGAAGACGTGGGTATGTGTACATGGTACAGAGATAGACATCAAGTGAGGACAGCATCAACTCAGCTTTGATGCTATGTCCAAGAGAAGACTGTTCGAGATTCGTACAAAGCTCACCAATTAGGTGAGTTATCATCTGGATGCCTGGTCTGTGGATCGGTAAACCCAGTAAACTGGAACCAAAAAACCTACATGCCTTCAGAAGTGGAGAGAAAATATTGGAGAAATATTTGCAGAAAAATAATATGCTTGAACTTAATGCACAATGTGCTTTGCACCCAAGCCCACTCTAACCATTGCTGTGGTATACCTCAAAGTGGTACCAAAGAGATAGGTGAGGTGCTATCATATTCTTGAATCTACAACATTCGATCTTTAAGCATTCTATGAATGGCCAAGTAAATTGTGGAAGAGCAAATTGGGGAAAACTATAAAGAATCTGTTAATAAATATAATAATCCTTGCATTTGATATACCGCTTTATTATGTCTTTGCGACGTTCTCAAAGAGATTCACAGAATATACTGTAAAGTGAAATTACGGTATATTTTGTGGGCGAAACACACCAGCCAATTGCACACAGCAGTTCCACAAACACAAACCAAATTATTATTATCATTATTTATTTTTTCAAGGGATTATTATCCCCGGAAAGCAATCCACCAATCAGCTTATTGTACAGGCTCACATTCCAGTGGAGTACTGGGAGAACATCACACTGCAGAGATGCAGTCTTTCGGATGAGGCATTAAACCTAAGCCCCCGTCTGCTTATTGAGTTAAAGATCCCCTGATACTGTTTGAAAAGAGAAGTTTCTCCCAGTGCCCGACCAACAATCTTCTAGGCTTCAAGGTGGTTTCTGTGATCATGTTGCACCAAAATTGGCTGTTGTGTTTGCCAACAAACAAAGTCACTTGACAACTATTCCCTGTGAACTACTTTGAGAAGTTTCAACTCCAGAGGCACAATATCAACTACTAGGATTATTATAAAGGGCGTGTTACAGTAAGAGAGGTTTTACATTTAAGTGGTTAGGTAAATAACTGAGTTATTCACATATTGCTTATTGTCATATAGAGCAATTACAGCTCTAACTGAAACATTAACTAACGAGTTGACAGCCTGTAATTACTCACTGTACTATATAAAACCGCAGATGTTATTTAATGAAGTATCAACAACCTTCAGCTCGGTGCAAGTGACGCAATGTCCAAAAGAAGGTGGGAATGCGCTTCATGCCTACACTACATTGCAGCTTCAATTTAAAGTTGAGAATTTTTAAAAAGCGAAAGGGATTTCACCCAGCACTAAAAAGCTGACTCAATGTACTGTTGTGGGTACAGCATTTGATACACTTCGGTTAGTTTCAGAATGAATATGCAACCCCAGTTTACATGCTTCTGGGGTTTATTAAAAAACCTTTATTACACCGCTATGCTCTTCCTTCTCTTAGTTGATATCGGAACATTATTCTCACTTCTTCATCTATTCAATAAGCATGTGCGGGGTGCTTATATCTTCAAAGCAAAGTCTTGAAGAAATTGTCCAAAACATCATAGAATATCATCCACTCGTGAAATGTTATTGAGTTCACAAAAACAAATGAAGCAAAAGATAAAATCGTGAACTGTGGTTTATTTAGGGCATTAAATAAGTGTGTTCATCTGTGCCAAAGCATAGCGGAGCACAGATGAAGAGTTCAATTTATTTAAAAGAATTTCTGCTAAAAGAAAGTCTCCTGAACAATGTCCCTGTTGTGCAATAACACAACACGACACACAGTTAAAGTGGAGAACTGTACAGAAATAAGGAATTAGAATACTATGTATTAGATCCCTAGTTATTAGATCTTTTTTGTTGCCAGGTGGAATACTTATACACAGAAAGAACTGGGGCATTATCAATCTGTTGCCAGTGAATGCAATTCTATATACCAAAATGTCTCAATCTGGCAAAAGTTGGCAAACTTATTTCAAGAGGCTATTCAGGATCATTGATGTGGGAAATAGGAATTGCACATTAGTTGGAGGTATGATTCTGAATTTGGGATTAAGCCATGATTGGAGTGGTGGGAAGGAAGCTTTACACTGCAACAAACCTACACTACAGCGAAGGCCCTATGCCAACCAGGGGTGGGGAAAGAAAATGCTTGATTAATCAAAACCCCAAAATATGATTTATTTCCTTTTAAGTACATGACATTACCATAGAAGGCAGTGTTCCAATTTTGAAATTGTAATCACAGCGCAGCGATTTATAAACTCGGATAAAATGGTCTTTCACTTCATGGTTTTTCGTGGACATTGCTGTGCGCAAATTGATTACCACATTCGCTTATCAAATACCATCATTACATTTTACAGTAAATCATGTGAAGCACTCCAACATGAAAGGCACTATATCAAATGCAAGGATTGTTATATTATATTAATTCTAACATTGCAAGACACAAGGCTCACCTCAGTGATGCATCTTTGATTTAAAAACTTCAATGTACTAAAGCTTTTATAACCATTATCTTAGCAACACAGCAATTAGATGATATTCTAGTTACAAGTCCATTTTTTACTTTTATCAATGATTTCAAGATGGGTTTAGATGCAAACTGGCCATTTGATGTCATTCTTCCAGAAAACCCATCCTACCTTAAACCCATTGCAGTGTCAAGCCATTTCTTAAACAGGCTGAGTGCCTCAACCACCCAGCTGTCAATTGCTCTGTGCAATGAAAATACTTCCTGGTGTCTGTCCTAAAATTACCCTTCTGAACACTGTACGTTTGCCCTTTTGTTCAGTACTTTGACGTGTCCGAAAGTCTTGTCTGGGTTTACTTTCTGCATCGGATTGATATCTTATATAACTCCATAAGGTCTCCTCTGAGACATTGTTTTTGAAAGCTGAAGAGCCCTAGCTGATCTAGCCGTTCCTCACAGTTAAAGAGACAGTTTAAATAGTTAAACCATGAGGACTTACTAAATAAAAATTGGAATGATAGAAATTCCATATAGGAAGCTAATTTAGCACAGCAGGCCTAGGTTACTGATAGCTGTTTCAATGTAACCAAATACCTTTACCTCAAACCTCTGTTGTTTTCTGGTAACGTAAGACGTAAAGTCAGTGACATTGCACAGACCATCACTGAAGCGTGAACATCTCCTTGCAATCACCCATTACCAAAGAAATCAAAATTGAAGACAAAATGAATAGGTCTGTTCAACACTGTATTATATTTCTCAATCAATGCCACCAGGTGCCACTAGCGTTCTTGTGAACACAAGCGATCCCGATCAGTGGGAATTGTATTCCTTAACACAACTTTATTGTCAACAGTTTGTCAGTCTGCTCTTATGCCAACTCCAACGCAATCATAGATTCATAAAATTTAGACTTGGGCAAGTTTCCTTACTCCACACAGGCCTAATAATAATCCTCCAAAAACCAAAAACAATAATAAAAATTGGTCATTTTCAATCTACGACTGTTTGTGGGACATTGCTGTGCACAATTGGCTGCCGCGTTCACCCACAAATATACAGTCAATTCACTTTACAGTGTGTTCTGTGAAGCGCTTTGGGACATCCTCCCGACGTGAAAAGCGCTATATCAAATGCAAGGATTATTATTATTATTATAAACCCAACAGTAGAATGCATTGGCATAGAAAAGACTGCGCTATTGTCTGGCGTACGACGTAAAATTGATTCAGACTCACCTGGGCCCTTGGAGGTTGCAGGTGCGAAAGGATCACTGCTCCCAAAGGGGTCGGCCTGCAGTTCAAAAATAAACATTCGGTTGAAATCTCTTCACTTTCTATGTACGTATTGATTCCACTGGGGAGAGTGACATTAAATGTTAAAAAAGGCTTTGGTGATTAGATGGCTCTGTGTTAAAATAAGTCGCATGATGTTTTGCTACATCATTGTGAAATTGCCTCATTCACATTAACTGCCCGGCGTGAAGGGCACCGTATAAATGAAAGTTGTTGCTGTTGTAGATAATATAGCATGAATCTGCAGAAAGGCATCACAGGCCTGAAATCTCTTAAACTTCAAAGACTATCTTAGAATTTAGATCCTGCACAATTTGGGGAAACGATTTGTGCGTCCAAGAATTGTGCGTCAGTCAAACTGAATTGAAGGATTTTCCAAAATTCTGCACTTTCACAAATGTTTAAGACCATGGTCACCTGGCTAAGATCATGAGAGATTTCAAGGCCCAGATATTGCAGTATGGAATATGTAGTTATGGGGCTCACCCAAAAGATACAAACTTCTGTGCAGCGATTCATCAAGCGTCTGTGTTCCAGTAAATTAATTTCTCAAGTTAAAAAAAGATATTTATTTTAGTAACCCAGCAAGTGTTAAATGGTAGAAGTTAAGGAAGGTAGAACAAGAAGATTCGAGTGGGATACATCACAGCAGTCTCTGAGAACATGGGAGATAAAAATATTCCAAGCTGGACTCAAGCCAGGGTCTCCAAGATAAAAGGACAGTACTGTTGCCCACAGCCACCACCCAAACTGTTCTCTATTTGAGTAACAAGGCACCTCTTCTGCATTTTTAGTGCTGTTTACTGAAGATATTGCAGCTACAGATTAACTCCAGAGAGGTTTCTCACGTCGAGTTTTAACTTAAAGTCTTAACGAGAAATAGATAAAATCAAGATAATCTGATTAATTCTTAGTGGTTTGATGCCTAATTATAAGCGATTCTTCAGAACTATCATTTCAACATCTTGTGGATATGTTGATCTGCAGTGCACACACTATTCGAGCAGGTTAAGAAACTTATACATTCTTTATTTACTTAGTGATTTCTTTCTCAGCAAAGTCTAGGCGTGCAACTTATTCACACCGCAAATTATGGCCACGAGAATTTGCAAAATGATCTGCATTAATAAACCACGGCATTCCAGAGCACGAGTAACATTACAGGTAAATTCTTCAGCCAGTGAGAAATGCTCCCTTTGTTCAGTTGAATCCTACCTCTATTCTGTCAACCAGGCTCGGGTGGGGATCCCTGACTGTCCAGGGCCATGGGACATCCTCCTGACGTGAAAAGCGCTGTACAAATATAATTTGTTGTTGTTTTTGTTGTAGCACTTGGTCTCTGGGTTTTGTAGACTGCATTACAGTAGACTGTACTAGCCTTGAGCTTATACTCTATCCAACCTGACACTCCAGTGTAGTACTGGGACAGTACTGCATTGTTGGGAGTTTCTGTTCTTCAGGTGAGCTGTTAAACTGGGGTCTCACCTGCCTGTTCTTCAAATACATTAAAGATTACATGACGCCATTTGAAACAGGAAAGGAGTTTCTCCCTATGTCCTGACCATCAATTCCCCAGCTGAGTTGGCCAAATTACCTCATGGCTGCAGGCGAGACCTCACTGGTGCAAAATGACTGCCACTAAGGCCTACAAAAAGTCGTGATACTTGACAGTACAGTACTGCAGAGCATTCTCCTTCCCCAACCCTCTCCAAGTATTCATGACAAAATAATAAAAATAGTCAATATTCTTGCAGCATCATTTAGATAATACCATTCTTGCTGCTGTACTGACTATTAATCAACCGAACAGTGGAATACGTAAAGTCATGTTAAAGTTAATCACAGGCAATTCAGGATCAATGCAAATACTGGGTTTTCATACCGGAGTTAAACCCCTTTCTGCTCACTGAACATTACTTATAGAATCATAGAATATTACAGCACAGAAGAAGGCTATTCAGCCCATCTTCCATTACTTGCCACTCTTACTGACTTATTACTGACTGCACTCCTGCCGCTTACTTTGGTTGGCACAGTGTTGGCTGGTTCTCTGCTGAAGGGTTCTGAGGATGCGGATGTAAACGGGTCACTTTTTGGCGGTTTCTTGAAGAACTCATCAGATGAGGAGCCACGGAACGGATCGTTTTCTTTAAAGGGATCTGCGCCAAATGGATCTGCAGTGTGAAAAGGTCCATCAGTGTGCTGCAACAGGCTGACAGGGGCCGTGGTGAATCATAGAATCTTACAGCACAGAATGAGGCCATTCGGCCCATCGTGCCTGTGCCGGCTCTTTGAAAGAGCTACCAACTAGTCCCACTCCCCCGCTCTTACCCCATAACCCTGCAAATTTTGAAGCATGACTGACGTTTTATAACGTGCATTCAGAGATTCAGCTTTACACAACTCTGTCCCTGAAACTGCAAACCTATTCCCATTTCCACACGTACAGCTGGAAAAACATTGAACAGGAACAAAATCACACAAACTCCCAGCCAAATTTGGCCCACTTTGGCACCAAAACTACTTGCTGCTCAAGCTCCCTTGCTTTGCACTGCAACGATTCTTCACCACTGGATGAAGGACAAATCAAGATCAGGGCTTTTTGACAAAGTGCCCAATCTGGGAACAGCCTTTCTCTCTCTCTCTCTCTCGCTGGCTGAGTGGAGGGTGGGAGCAAAAGACTGCTAAGACCGGAGAAGCAGGCAAAGCGCTGAGTGTAGTGGGGGGGAGGGGGGTGGGAATAAAACCTCACATGCTTGGTAACTAGGTGAGCAGGCAGAAGCTTTCAACACTCTCCTGGATGCTGATAAACAGCAATAATGGAGCTTTCTTGGCAGCTCAGTTTTTCCAGGAACCACTCGCAACAAAGATAATTATGAGCTAATTACGCTGCTTTATCACAGGCTGATCATACACAAGCTCCACTCAATGAATCACAATGCTCGCTGAGAGTAACCTCAAATGACCAACCCTCTGGTATAATCAATATATAAATACACACACAAGGGACAATTGCACAAAGGTATAGTAGCTTACCAGAAATTGCTCCAAGTTTCTGGCACAGCTGGTTTCAGAGCTGCATTAGAGGAGGCCTGAAAACTGGTCGCCCACCTCTTGGTTGCGACATAAGAGAAGACATTTTTGGGGGGGGAAATCNAAAAAAAGTGGGCAATAGGAGAGGGTGTACAATCACAACACAGAGAGAATAAAGCAGGAGGTGGCTGATCAAAGGTTGGACATTCTACACACGAGAACTTGCCTGCTGAGGTGGTTGTCGGCTGCTGGGCAAAAGGGTCGTTTTGGAATGGATCACCTGACAAGGAAACACAGGGGCAAAAATAACTTAAAATAAGACCAATCGTTAACTTGATATTGTTACAGTGTCTCTGGGAAAATCTTCAGGATCAGACTGAGCCACTCACTGTCTATGAATGGGTCTGCTCCTTTGAATGGATCCGTTTTGAAAGGATCTTCCGACTGGAATGGGTCCGTGTGTAGTTCCTGGACACTGTTATTGAATGGCGAGGCTTTACCTCTGAAGGGGTCGTCCTGAACACAGAGCAGTTTTATCAACAACTTCAGTAAATTTGTCACATTTCAGTATCTAGTTCCAACAAGAGCCACTGCACTGAGAGAAAAACCATCTGAGTTGAATTGAGCTCAAGTCTCAACATGGGCCTTGAACCTTCAACTCCAGGGGTTAGGGTGCCAACAACAACAGCAGCAGCAAATTACATTTGTATAGCACCTTCCACGTCAGGAGGACGTCTCAAGGTGCTGGACAGTCAGGGATCCATAGCCGAGCTGGTGGTTGGGATCAGGAGAGGTGGAGGGCAGGGAAGGTAGGTGAGGAGGGTGACCGAAGGCACGGTCGATGAGGAGGGTCTTGAAGGAGGCAAGGGAGGGTGAGGCGGAGGGACTGTGGGATGGATTTCCAAAGGGTGGAGGCAGAGAGGCTGAAGGCTACAACTAAGCCAGACTGACAGCACAACGCTGTGCTCTTCCCACTATTTTCTGACCCAAATAATTGCCTGCTTTCAGCTGGTTATGTTGATTTACACGGTTACTTTCGAGGCAGAAGAAGTGAATGAATCACCGGACTGCAGTCTCTTCCTACCCACCAGTGTAACGAAGCCACTGTCTCTCTCCGTGATGCCATCACTCATGTCTGCCAGGTTAGTCATACTGCCTCCGTGATCCGTTAACGAGCCATTCAGCGCACTGTTGTACTGGTCAATGTTTTTACTAACTTCTTGCTGACTCTCTTGTAACTGGGAGAGCTTACTTCGTGCCTACAGTTGTTGAAACAAAAAATGGTCATGTTATTAACTTTCCATTAACTGTTCAGATCAAATTTCGCCCACAAAATATAAAGTCAATTCACTTTATGGTATATTCTGTGAAGCGCTTTGAGACGTCTAAATGATATGATGAGGCGCTATATCAAATGCAAGGATTATTATTATTAGACATATATAAATTTTCATCCACGCGGATTTCTGAAGTGGATGAGTATGTAAGGCTGTCTATCCTCAGTTCCAGTCCAGACTCCCATTGAATCTGAGACCTGCAGCTACACATTACCACATTTACTGCATTTCTTCACCATTTTTGTTTGAATAATGACCCTGTCCTGCCAAAGGCATCAATAATTTTTTTCAAAAAAATTATATTGCATAAGCTTACAAAACCTATTCATGAGCAGTTTTGTGCAATCTCTCTGCCTCTCTGTGGCCATTTTATGCTATTGCGTGTTTAAACACAATCCTGTTACGATTATCAAACTAAACGAGGAGTCAATGCACAATGGGAGTTCAGGAAATAAAGCCCCCACTTGCCCACTAAATATTGTTGGGGATATTTACACGAACAAAGAGGGAATAGTGATTTTTCTGTTTTTTCCCTGTTCTTTAGAACATTTGGTTCCCCAGTGGAAAGAGCCAGGCAAGCTACCTGCTCAAAGGCTTCTCTACCCAAATGTTTCTTGACGTGTCAAAAGGTGGTGCAAGGGCAACCCACCCACTATTTCTCCCTCCTTTCTCCTTTGATTGTTTCTCCCAAAGTCAGAGAACTCAAAGAGAGATACAGAAAAAAAAAAGCCCTTCAGCCCATTTGATCTCATTATCTTACTGCCTTCCCAGGATCAAATTGTTTCTTACACAAGTCCAATGTCCTAGCCTCAATTACCCTTCCTAGTTATCCATTCCAGTCATTAATTCCCTTCTGGGTAAAGAAATACTGAACCTGATCCCTCCTGTCCTGCTACCTTCGCTTATCTGAAAGCATTTGTACTGGGTTTACTCTAATGATTGGAACCAAGTTCATCCAATCAGTTTTGGATTGTGCAGTTTTTGAAAAATTATACAACATAAATCACTAAAAATTTTGAACATTTTCTGAACAGTTAAGCTGGACATAAGAACCTTTTGATCTGAAGGCTTAACAAGCGAGGGTGGTGCTGCAGCGTATGATGAACGGACAATTGTACCTTCTTTTTGGGCTGCCAGAAATGGATTAACACATCCAGTGTTGATGTCACTCTCTCCCAAATCACTTTATTCCCAAATAAACCGTGCCAAGGCTGTGAGAGGGAGCACCAAGAATCAGACATACTACATTCCTTACCCGGTTAATTTCATCCTGTGTGGATTTGAGTGATTTAATAATCGTCTCAAGTTGGACCTTTCCAGCCTCGATACTCTGCTCCAACTGGACTTCCTCTTGCTGTAGTTTGTTCAACTCAGTCTTGGCATTGTTCAGTTCTTCTTCCTGGGATTTCATATCTGATTCCTGGTTGGCTATCTGCATCTTCAGTGATGAAATCTGTGGCAGATGAATTTGTATACTTTATAACATCAAATCAACAATTTCAATTAGGCCATTGAGAAACACAATGCATCATTCATACATAGCATTTTGGGTTCATCCCACCATAATTATAGTAACTTAATTACATATCATGCAAATTAATCCATTCAATTGGTTGCCAGTTGGACATGAAGCTGTAATTAGCGGACAGAGAAATGTCATCTCTTATACACCAGCTAGGTATCTCAAATGTTTTTAGTAACTAAATTTGGTTAAAGTGAGACTCACTGGATCAAATACAAAGCAATAGCTCACAATAGTTATTCATTGAGGTTTAATTCCAGGGATAGAGAAAGATTAAGGTGTCTTGTAATCACTTACAGATACCCATTCACCTACATATAAACTATCTTGAGTTCTTAATTGGCTTTGAGAATTGTGTAATCATTCACAGGTATCCCCAATTCTCTCTGCAACACCAGTGTGTCAGCTTGCCTCAGTTGGTAGCACTTTTGAGTATGGATAATAAAGCTGGATAGATGCTTGAAAAAGCATATTAAAGGGTATAATCCAAGTGATAGGAGAGTGAAATTAGTTGAATTGGCTCTCGTGGAGAAAGACATCTGCGTAGATTTTTGTGGGCCGAATGGCCCATTTGGTGCTGTAATATTCCATAATTCTATAAATCTCCATTTTTCACGGGACACCATTTGAAGCTCGGCTTTTTTTTGTGCCTCAGCCAGAATACGTGCGGAAACCCATCACCATGCTGAAGAGTATCCAAACCAACAGAGTTCCATGCATCCCACCTATACATGGAAATTCCCAAGATAATGCTTAGCATATTACACAAACACAGGATTAATTTATCTTTATAGTGTATATGTACGTACAAATATCACTGAGTAAGAAGTTTCTCTGAGATCGAATTGAACGGTTCACGTGCTGGCGCCAGTATAAACAGGGCCTGTTGCAGAACACCCTCAATGACCTGCTTCACATTAAGCTAATGCTGCTTTCTCTGTTGACCTGCTTAACACCAGCTTTTACTCCAGCTGCTTGCAAGTCATCAGAAAGAAATCTATCAACAAGTCTCAGAGGATCGAATAATTTAGGAATTTCCTTACATCGGTTTTGCACAGACAAAAATATTTGTTCTGGCTAAATTCCCCTGATCTGTTGATACTTCGAGTGATTTAATAATTATTAGAATTAGCGACTGAGCTAGGCTGACATACTGATTTGTTCACAAATTCTCACCTGGCTGGTTTCTTTCGACCATTCTCAGTCCTATGGTGCTCGTCTTATTCTTCCCTCCCTTGCTCCCCAACACCCATTTCATTGACAGCAGAGAGCGAAGGACTAAGTGGATGCTCTAGAACCAACTCAATCATGCTGTAATAATAGTGATCCTTGCATTTGATAAAATGCCTTAACACAACAACAAATTGCATTTGTAGCACCTTTCATGTTGGGATGTCGTTCCAAGATGCTGGATAGTTGAGGGTCTGTACCCAAGTTTGTACCTCGATTCGGGAAGGGTGAGGTATGGTCAACATGTCGACACAAGTCAAAGCGCTTTACAGAATCATAGACATTTACAATCCCGGGGGCCATTCAGCAGCTCTCAGAGCAAGCGCAGCCTTCAATACCCCAATCCTACACCTCTTCAAGCTTTACTATTTGTAGGTGAACGCAGCAGTCAATTTGTACGCAACAAAGACCTACAAACAGCCACAAAGTGAATTACGTTTTTTAAAAAATCTGCGGGGAGCGTTGGCCAAAGCACCAGGGGAAACTCCCTTCTCTTCACAAATAGGTTCGTGGGATCTTTAATATCCGCTTGAACAGGCAGACAGGATCTTGGTTTACCTTCTCATCCGAAGGACAAGATGGACAATAAAAGAGAATGCAGAAAAGTTCAGTGCTTTCTTCAAATAAACTAAAATATCCGAAAAAAAGTTATTTCTTTCAAACCCAATGAAAGAATTCAATACTCAAAAGGATTCTCTGGGATCACAGCCATGTTTTAATGGTTGACATTTAGAAACAGACAGAAAAACATTTGTGCGAGGGAGTGGTCCAACTCATGGGGGAAAGCAAACTGGCTAATTGGAAGTCGCTGAGAAGCACTGTTGGTGGCCATGTGGAGGTCTGAGACCTGGACCACCCTATCCAGTCCCGCTAGCCAGAAGCCATGTGGGAACAATACAATGAAATAAATAATGATCAATCTGGTGGTGTATTGGAATGCTACCTTGGCATACTGAATAACAATGTGAGCAGAACTGGGCTGGAACAAAGGATGCAGGTTTCCTACAGAGGATGTAATCATCTTATGTAAGGAACATCTGGCTGCGATCATTACAATGCTGCAACACCCAAGGGTTTAGGGATATTAAAGCAACACGCAAATGAAGACTCAACAACTAACGCACTGAGCCCAGAACATTACTGATCCACTCCAGACATTATTTTTTTTAAATAAAGAGATCCTCCCTCCACAGGCTGCAGCCCGTGTCCTCTCCCACACCAGCTCCGCGACCCTATCACCCCCATCCTTGCCCAACGCTATTGGCTTCCCATCACACAGAGGATACAGTTCAAGATCCTGGTCCTCACCTTCAAAGGCCTCCATGGTCTTGCTCCCCCCTATGTCTCCGACCTCCTAACAGCCTACCATCCTGTCCGCTCCCTCCGGCCTGCTTCACGTCCCCCGCCTTGCTCGCCCAATTATCGGCGAGCGAGCCTTCTGCCACTTTGCATCCACCCTCCGTCTCACCTCCTCCCTCACCAACTTCAAGACCCACCTCAAGATCCTCCTTTCAATCTCTCTGCTTCCTCCCCTGGCCTCCCCCCTCCCCCGGCCTCCCCCTTCCCCCATCCCGACGCCCAGCTCAGGCCAGAAATTCTTCTGTCCAGTTCCTTGAGACAAACTCCCAACATGAAAGGCGCTACTTGCTACGTGTGGAATCCTGTAGCTCAGTGGTTAGAGCACTCGCTTTGCAAGCGAGAGACCTGGGTTCAATCCCAGGCAGGTCAGGGCGAATCCTTGGGCAAGTTTCCTTACTCCACACACAGCCTAATAATAATCCCTCCAAAACAAAAATAAATTGGTCATTTTCAATCTACGACTGTTTGTGGGACATTGCTGTGCGCAATTGGCTGCCGCGTTCGCCCACAAATATACCGTCAATTCACTTTACAGTGTGTTCTGTGAAGCGCTTTGGGACGTCCTCCCGACGTGAAAAGCGCTATATCAAATGCAAGGATTATTATTATTATTATAAATGTAGTTTTGTTGTATTGTGTCTTTATACACCATTAAAGTTTATGTCCCTTATTATCACTTAATTATACCTCATTGTATCACAATTACTGTGTGCAATTTGCTGCCACTTTTCGCCCATAAAATATACAGTCAATTCACTTTACAGTATATTCTGTGAAACGCCTTGAGATGCCTTGATAGCATGACAAGGCGCTGTATCAAACGCAAGGATTAGTAAGAATACAAGAGCTGAGGTTAATGAGGTAGAGTACAGAGCCAGCATTACAGAAAGTCAGCTGGTACGGAAGGGTTTATTTTCAGAAAAACTGTTGTGTTTGTAATAATCTTCTTACACACACACACACACACAAATATATTCGAGGAGTCACACAAATTAATTACAGTCTAATCCCCACCTGTCTGCTTGTTTTTACAATGACAAGCTTTAAAGGTTGCTTAGTACGTGACCTAATTTTAATAGTCAGAAAGAAAAACAAAATTGAAGTCGCAAAAGGCATCCAATAGTTAAGGCAGGTACTTTCATTATGTGCTACCATCCAGATTATGACATAAAACCCACAACAGTTCATTTATAATAATAATCCTTGCATTTGATTTAGTGCCTTATCACGTCTTCCAGACGTCTCAAAGCGCTTCACAGAATATACTGTAAAGTGAATTGACTGTATATTTTGTGAGCAAAAGGTAGCTGCTAATTGTGCACAGCAACGTCCCACAAAACAGTGGTGGATTGAGTGACCATATTATTATTATTTACTGGGTTTTGGGGGGGCATTCGGGTCCCGGGTCCTCCCCGTTCTTACCATCTGATTCTCCTCGTGACACTTCTGTCGAATGTCGTTCAGCATGTCCTCCAGTTTGGCCTTCTGCTGGTCCATCTCATCCAGTCTGTCCTGCGCAGACTGCTTCTGCGACTCCAGCTCCTGCAGGTTTGTGGTCTCTCTGTCCAGGTCGTTCTGTAGCTCCTGCCGTCAAACACAGGTCCAACCTTTGGTCAAATGTTCAATTCACAAAGGCCCAATGTTTGGGTTTACACTGCAAGAGTGACCTCTAAAATATGGTTCAATCACGTTAATATAGAAGTCCATTCATTAGATTGATTCCATTGTAGCTATGGAAACACTGCAAATAACAGATCATCACACAACATACAAATTGCCTATCAAAAACTTTGCATCAAGACTTATACTGTCACTATAGCACCATATTGTGACAGTTCTTTTTTCTCTTTCTGATCTACATTCCATATAACAAATAGCTAAATAACACCTTACATTACTGGTTCACAGTCCCCCTCCTTATTCTTGGGAACCTTGCATATCTACACGCAACATATATTTTTTGCCACATTACAGCTACACTTCACATCAGATGAAAACAGAGAAGATAGTCAGCCTGCTGTTGATACACAGCATTCTACCTTAAGCAACCATTTATTGTACACAGTGTATTTTTGGTAGAATATACAAAATCCCAAATGATCAACCCACTTTATCAAATGATTAATTCACACCAAAAAACAATATGTTTCTAACTTAATCATAAATCGTGCCCACATACAGAATGATTATGAACCTTGTACTTCAAAACCATGTAACCTAAAGCTGCTATTTTTCCTATTGCATACAGCTTGTGGTGATGGATTTAATGGAATTTACTGCATGTGGTCAGGTTTTCAGTCCTCAGGTCATTAGCAAGCTCTTTATATATTACAGATAAGATTAGAAGACATTTCACCAACCTCCATATTCTATTATATAGTGGCACAGCACATTAGTGGCTTTAACCCACTGTTTAACTATTCGTTACAATTCTCATATGCTACCTACTTACCTGTACCTCATTTGTTTTCTGCCTGATGGATTCTTCTTTTTCCCGGATGTCCTGTTCTAGAGCATACTTCTCCCTGAAATACACAGATCCCAATGTCTTCAAAACCTCATGTAAACCAAAAATAATGAGTAACTATTGAGGAAAGCAGAGTTATGGATGAATTGAAATAAACCCAAATGAACATTCTCCCACAAAGCACCTCCACTGAAAATCCTGATATTTTTCTGCTCTTTGGTCACCACAGTGATTTATGCCACAATTCAAGAAATATACAATCAAGAAATGACTGTAAACACACTCCTGATCGAACACGCACTTACCTAGACCCACGCGAATACTCGGGAAGGCCATTTCATGACGGCTACAAGTTGACCACCACAGCCCTAGAATATCAGCTATCGGATTCACTCACCACATTGTTTCAGATCCGAGGCCAACGACAAAAATGTTTGTTCTGAGGTGTTAAAAGGGGCAGGCAGTTGCAATCTGTGTGGTTGACACCACGAGTGAACACAGAGGCACTTTGGGTTGAGGAGCCATTCATGAGAAAGATCAACTCTGCACTCAACCACTAGCCATTGTATTCAAACCACTGACATTTATTCTAAAATTCAATACATTTCTAACTCAGCAACACTGAGGTGTCAGGTGGATAAATGCACCACAATCTCATGCATAAAGAACTTGTATTTTTAGAATGTTTAATGCATCTCAAAGCGCTCCACAGTAATTATAAAGTGTGGAGCCTTTTTTTTGTCCCAGGCATAGCTAAAGGTAGAGGAGATGAAAGAAAAAGATGGAATGCCACCTCCAGCATCTCAATTGCAAAAGGATGGAAATACGAAAAGCATAAATCAACATCATATTGGAAAACAGGTAGACACCTCAGAATATTAATAAGAACATAAGAACATAAGAATTAGGAGCAGTAGGCCATTCGGCCCTTCGTGCCTGCTCCGCTGTTCAATAAGATCATGGCTGATCTTCTCACCTAACTGATTACCTGCCCTATCCCCATATCCCCTAATCCCTCTATTTTTCAAGTGTGTTAGGTTACACAACTTTAGGTGGATATAGTGGCCCCCGATTGCTCGAATAACGGCAATCTCTAGGAAAACGACTGTTTTAGAACAATGTGAACAACAACCTTACTGATGGCACGGCCGGGCTCTATGTCTTCTCCAAAGACATCTAAAATGTGATGGGTTGGGGGAGGATTCACAAATTCACAATAGAAGAAGCCACTGTGTGAACTGTGGAAGCAATGGACCCTTTCGTGCGCGTTAGGTTCTCAATTATTGCAGTTGCCGGTTCCTGGCGCACCGAAAGGTGAATCATTTTGCTGCAGATCCAATTCTAGCCACTGGGTGTCAGTGTGCTGAACCCAAACTACATTACAGCTGTCGCTGCAGATCCAAGAGGAATTCCACAAGTGAAAATGGATTAACACTACGCGTAGGACCCAACAACAGAACCGCAGCGGTTTTACATCAAGGCGCAATTAATCCGTAAAAGCATTTAAAAAGTAATCAGGTAATTTTTTTAAAAATGCAAATGGGTATAAGAAGGGAAAGAAACAGGAGCTGAATGACCGGCTGTTTGAGAGAGAGAAAGCACAGGCCTGACCGGTCGAATGGCCTCCTCTTGCCCTGTAAAACTCTTATGATTCTACAAACTCAATCCAATAAATGTTAAAAATCGTCTTTCAGGGAACACAGATCTTTCCATCCGCGTCCAGAAATGCTCAGGTCAATTGCAACAAACCCACTGCCACATTTGCTGAGATTCAGAGAGTCGAGAGATCAAGGCTTTCCTGCTCTGCACAGCTCAGTACTACAGAGTACACTCACTTACACCCCCGCCTAATGGAGGAAGGAAACCAGTTTAAGCAAGCTGCAATCAATATTTATGAATCACTTACCTTTGCAGTTCCGTGATTTCGTTGCTAATTGCATCCAGCTCTTTGATGCCAGTGAAGTCCCCTGAGCCGACTGAGCTTGAACTGTCCTATTATAAAAGCAGAGAAATGGGAAGGTCTTTCTCATAAAACGCAACACTGAAAAGTCTAGAGGTAGCATTGTGATGCAGAAGAGAAGGCCAGCATTATTACAAAAGAACATCTTTATATATATAGCATAACAGTCATACAACAATAAATTACACTTGTACTATAGTGCCCTTCCTCACGTCAAAAGACGTCCGAAGGTGCTGGACCTTCAGGGGTTTTTGGACCTGAGTTGAGAGTTGGGGTCAGGAGGGGTGGAGGGTGGGAGGGTAGCCGAAGGCACGGTCGAAAAGGAAGGTCTTTAGATGGGACTTGAAGGAGGCAATAATAATATATAATAATAATAATCCTTGCATTTGATACAGCGCTTTATCACGTCTTCGAGGCATCTCAATAGAGGGAGTGAGTCGAAGGGATTGCGGGGTAGAGTTCCAGAGTGTGGGGGCTGAGATGCTGAATACTCTTCAATCCTAATATTGAAGGATGTATTAATCTGAGGGGAGCCCAGGAGGTACATGCTCAGTGCTCTTGTACTGTCGAGCCAGGTTTCCTTTAGGATTGAATTCCCGGTGAGCTGTTGAAAATCATATTTCCTTCCAGGCACAAAGCAAGCATGGTAGCATCACAGACAGAGCAACAATAGTAACAGTAATAATAATCTTCACATTTGGTATATATAGTGCCTTTCACTTGAGGTAGATATCTCAAAGGGCCTCACAGGATATACTGTAAAGTGTATATAAGCATATTAAGTTTAAATTATAGAGGCTTTTACATTCATTTGTGCCCAAAATCCAGTTTTCAACTTTGTGACTGAAAAAAGCTTCAGCATTACATTTTATATATATATAAACCCTTGCATTTGATACTATCCCATATCGTCATTTCAAAGTCTCACAGCACTTCACAGAATGTTGTGACTATATTTTGCTGGCAAACCCACAGCCAATTTACGCACAGCAATGTCCCACAAACAGGCATAAAGGAGTTGCGTATCGGTTACAGCCCTCGCAAGTGAGAGGACCCAGGTGCGATTCCTGGACAGTACGAAACCTTAGGCAAGTTTCCTTACCCCACACACCTCTGTTTACCTAGCAGTAAGTAAGAACCCAGTAGTTAGTCGACTGGCAGATCGCTTTCTGGGTATAATAATCCATCCAAACCAAAAAGTAATAATAATTTTGTTACGCATTCCACGACTGTTTGTGGGACACAGTCTTGTGCAATTGCTACTGCGTTTCATCCACAATATATTCTGTGAAGCGCTTTGAGATGTCTCGATGACGTGTTAAGGAGCTCTATCAAATGCAAGGATTATTATAAATTTTAAGCACAAATCAACGTCAAATCAGGGTCATGAACAGAGTTGCACTCGGTACTCACTGATGCTGGAGTGTTCCTCTCAGATGGTGGTATCATATCGGACGTCAGAACCTGGGGAGGGTCAATGCCTTTACCGACCTTCAGCTGAATCAGACACATGGCTAAAGCAAACTGTTCCCGGTTCAGTTTCCCCATCTGCCGAGTATCAGCTAGAGCCCTGCCACAAAACAAACAACAACATTAAAACCTTTCAGCAGAGTTTTTTTTCACGCCAACTATCCCCATGTCCATTTAGAGATGCAATTCAGTTGCTCTGACCAGCTAAATTACATCTCTAATAACCTGACATGCATGCAATGTGAACCTTAGACAACACGCAACAGAAATTTCACCTGGTAGCGTGACATTTTTATACTTTTATAACACCAACAACTTGCATTTATATAGTGCCCCTCACACAGGGTAGCTTTCCAAAGCGCTTTCATGCAGAGTAGGGTTGAGTCAGAAGGAGATAAAGATAGATAGAATGTTAAGAGACTCAGAAAGAGAGAAAGACACAGACAGAAAGCCTCAGAAACAAAGCCAGAGAAAGAGTCAGAGAGAGTGAGTGAGAATGAGAGAGGAAGAGATAATGGTCTTCATTAATGCAGATAATTGTTTCTCTACTGCACTCATCAGTGGGACCAATCTCATAATGAGCAGCTAGATGTCATCCTTGTGGAATTGAGGACATTCCCATTTTAGATACTCAGTATTAACCTTGAACACTCTCAGGGTTTGATGTACCAGATAGCTGCAGTGTAAGACTCGTTTCAAATAACTGATAGAATATCCCAGCCTCAGAAGAGCAACCCCGACAATTTAATTTCCATCATTTGCACAAGTAACCTTTACGGCTTTTCTGAATGGACCTGACTATTTAGTGCTAGCTTGTGCTGAATTATACGTTGTATACAATCCACTACATACAATAAGATTGCTCCAAATATTTCATACCGAATCCAAACAAAGCCAAATGAGAAAGATGACCTTCAGCCCATCAACATGGGATGAACTCAAACTCCTGTTTCAGGGGTTAGGCCAGCGTTATTATCAATTTGACTACTAGGTTCCGATCAAAAAAACTGTGCATTTGCTTTTCAAATTGTGTTGCAGACCAAGACAGTCCCAGGTTATATTACCAGTCGATGCCAATTGTAGCTTGGGAAACATTAACAGCTAATATTCGCCTCAATAGGGATGAATTAGCCAGGGTTTCCACTCCTGAATATTATATCCAGGACACAGGCGCAGATAATAATATTAAATAATCCTTGCATTTGCTATAGTGCCTTATCATTTTACCGAGACTGCTCAAAGCACTTCACAGGACATACTGTAAAGTGGATGGACTGTGTATTCTGTGGGCGAAATGCGGCAGCCAGTTTGAGCACACCAAAGTCCCACAAAGAGCCGTGGGGTGAGTGACCAATTTTATTTAAGGGATTGTTGCCCAGGAAACCGGCAGTAACTCCCTTCTCTTTTCGAATAGTGCCATCGGATCTTTAACGTTCACCTGAACAGGACAGTTTAATGTCAAAGGATGGCACCTCCGATAATGCAACACCCCCCCGGCACTGTATTGGATTGTCAGCGAGGACTATGTGATTCTAAGTGCCAAAGTGGGGCTTGAACTCACAACCTGACTCAGAAGCGAGAGCGCAACCACTGAGCCAGGCTGACACACATCTCAGGTGAAATCAGGATTGTGCAAGGTACCTGTGGGTAGCCTGCACCTGTAGACCCATATGCTATCAATCAGTGCCTTCAGGAGAAGAAAAAAAATCAGGAGAAACATTTCATCTCAGCATAAAGAATGAGCACCACATGTCTATCTCACTGCTCTCTTTCCCCCCCTCCCCAACCTCTACAAATACACACACACACAATCAAATAGCCTGCAAACACTCGCTATCAAGATTCATGCATGAATAATGGACATCTGAGAGAAGTGGCACAGGGCAAATAGCATCCATCAAATGACATATCCCAGGAGAATCAAACTGGTTTGTATAATTCCAGTTATTTTATACCCAATTGAAGGCCCGAAGGCATTCAATTCAGTGGAACAGCAAGACTCAAGATGCATCTATTTTACTCGTCAGCTTCCTGGATGTCAAAAATGAACTTTAGTTTGTTAGGCTCATAGTTGAACTGCCGCCGTGTTCCATCATTATTATTAATTATTATTATTATTAAGGGGGTAAAAATCCTTTTAAAAAAAGTAAATAATAATTTGGTCACCCAACCCGCGACTGTTTGTGGGACACTGCTGTGTGCAATTGTCTGCCGCGATTTTCCTGCAAAATATGCAGTCAATTCAATTTACAGTATATTCCGTGAAGCTCTTTGAGACGTCTTGAAGGCGTGATAAGGGACTACATCAATGCGAGGATTATTATTATAATTATCTAGTTTGCATGCTGTCGTGCAGTTTAATCTCAGATCTTGGATCAATTTTACAAATCGAAGCAGTCAAAGCGCAGGCTGAAAATACATGTCTCGGTTCACAATAATCTTTCCCAGCTCCTGTCCGTGTCAGCCCAAATGTAACCAGCACTCAAATCACATTTTATGTACGGTAGCACATTACAAGTGTCCCACTGTGTCCCCTCTCTCCAGCTGTGTCTCTGAAGCAGCACAGCAGAGCTCCCATCAAACAGACCTAAACCTCACAGTTGCGACAGCTCCTGTTTTGAGCACAGATTTGCCATCGGCAAGGAAGTAGAAATTCAAGTCCTGCTAGGCACACAATATCTCCGAGAATCTCCGCACCAGCAACACTATATTTCTCTAAACAGTTTCTCCCCGTCCCCACATGGTCACCTCAGCTCCTCTTTCTACACCTCCGCAACATTGCTGGCTTACGGCTCGATTTCAACCCACGCGTGCTCTCATCATCTGACTTGATTTCGCAAACACTTTTCCCACCAACTCTGCAGCCTACATTTTCCCACACCACAGAACTCATAGTTTCTCCCCTATCCTTACCACTGGTTCCCTGCAGCCCAATCGTTTGGCTTCAAAATCCTTGTTCTGACCTTCAAGTCTTCCTGTCCTTGCCCTCCCCACCCCTTGCAACTTCCTCCACGCTTCTGAGTCAGCCATCAAGAACATACAATACAAAATTACATTTGTTCAGCGCCTTTTACGTGGGAAGAATGTCCCAACACGCTGGACAGTCAGGCATTTGAATATGAACTGGGGATCGAGATCGGGGAGGGTGGAGGGTTAGGAAGGTGGCCAAAGCCCGTCACCAGCACATGAATCTCAGCATCTCTACATTTCAGGAAATACAGAGAATACTAGGAATACCAATGAATAACAAGGCAATGATTGGCGCAGTGAGGAAGTAACAGTGAAGCTTGAACCCTCTTAACCCTAAAACAAGATGTTTATATTTGTATGCGCAAAATTACTCCAAATAGGAATCCCCCTAATAGCTTGGTCGGTTGATGTGATCCTGAGACATATGAACTCGGAATGTCCTATGTTCAAACCCTAGTCTGTATCGAATTAGGTCACGTCAAAAATGGGAGCGCTAAATTTGACCTCAGTGAAGAAGGGAAAGAAATAAGAGACAAGAGCCTGCACTCCTGATTCCTACTGGATTTGCACACATGGAAAAGCCTGAAATTTCATCATACTCCTATAAAGTTTCAGGTTCCAAGCCCTATAGAATGTTACAAATTGTTCACATCTAAGCACTCCTCTCTGACCAACTCAATCCACGACTGAAGATGGAACACTGCTGTGCGCAACTGCCCGCCAGGCTTCGCCCACAAAACATACAGTTTACAATATATTCTGTGAAGCGCTTTGAGACGTCTCAACAACTTGATAAGGCACTATATCAAATGCACGGATTATTATCATTTATACTTCATCATTGAAATGCAAAACCTCGTTACCTTTCACCAACATATCATCCAGCTTTCATAATTGACGACACGGCTCTTGTGAGGGAATAGACTTAATGAAATGACTGATCTCATCCGAGCACGTAGCAGGCCTCTTACCAGATATGTGCCAAGAGGTTCTGAGGGAGTGCAGACTGCATGAAGATGTCTTTGACTTCCAAGCCACTGACGTATCCGTCCATGTCTAAGTCTATTTTGAGGAAAATATCATCATACCGCATCTTGTCAGAAGCCGACACGACCCAGTTTAATGTCTGAAGAAAAAAAGGGGGGGGGAAAAAGGATTTATCTGGGTCACATATAGCACAATTAGTGAAGTCAACGCAGCTCCTGCAGGTCTAGTTCTGTTAATAACAAGATGAATGGCTCAGTGGACAAACGTATTGCATGCTGTGGTACTACTGAATCATACAAGCCAGGAATACCTCATGTTCAGTCCTCAGGTCTAGAACACATAAGCAGATCGTAGCCAGAAGGGCAATGCCATCATTTCATCCACTGGAGTAAATGCCACTCTCCCCACTAGTCAATCAGCTGACCTTATTCCAGTACTCAATGGTTTACACTCATTGAACTTATATATAAACGTTTATACAAGTTTAATAAGGGGAACAATTAAAACAAATCTAACTTCATGACCATTTTGAAAGTACCATTCTCTGAATGGCAGTACTGCCCTACTCAGATACTATATATACACACCTAAACCTCTGGAACTTCCTCCCTCTACTTGCCCTCTCGATTGTCTTTAGGTTCCCCCCTTAAAAGTTACCTCTTCACCCGTGCCTATGGTCATCTCCACCTCCCCTCTCTTTTTCCTTGCTCGGCAAGCTCTACATCAATAAATCTTAAATTTAAGTGAATCTCTGCAACCGTCACATGGTCGAGATCAATAGTTTATAGGTCAACACCCACACGTTTAAGCTTCAACATTACAGCTGCAAGTCTTCACTCACGGAAAATAAATGGCAATGTTTCCTATTTCAAAGATGTCATTGAGAACGCAATAAGCAGAGGAGCCAAATGGGCAATTAACTCTGATCTGCTCATGTACACTATTCGCAGTTTTGGGTAAAGACTCGGGAATGCATAATCTAACTGCATTCTTAAACATGAATAATGCACACCATCTGAAGCAGGTTACAACAAAATAAATAAAAGTAATTTAGCGTTCATATGTTATTACCTGTTTGGCATGCTTTGGAGAGATGCTGCCTGTGCTGTTTAAGCTGTTAATGCTGCCATGTGAAGGAGTGGATCTTAGGCTGTCTTTAGGGGGAGGGCTAGCTGGAAGCACTGATACAGAACCGGCAAGGGTTGAGGCCTGTTTCTTCCTCTTGGAGGGGGGCACAAGCGCAGACGGTAGAAGCTGGGGCACAGGTTCCTTCTCCAGAGCTCTGTAAACAAGATGCATTGCCTACAAGTAAAGAAAAAGCAGTATAAAAAGTCAGCTAGTTCACACCCACACTGTGTAACAACTGAAAGCTGTTCAAGTGTCAGACATTCTTAAGTGGGAGGAGTCAGACATTCTTGTGAAACAATCAACTAAGCAATTTCTTTGTTTAGAAGCGAGTTGAATGTATTCCGAGGACAATATTTAATCAACACTAAATACTAAGGGAGATGTCTCTTATTTTGAAATCATAGCATAGGATTATGAAAGCACTTCTGACAGATGGCAAATAGAAACTATATCCTTTCACTGTAAATAGCATTTTGAATACCGTATGCTAATAAACAATCCAGTCAGTATGACAAGACACTATTGCATCAAACCATCGTCTTTCGAAATACCACTTGGGTGACTTTGAGTGCGCTGCCAACCAAAGGAAATAGATTCTACTTGCTATCTGACACGAATGGACTCTTATCGTCATGTTCATATTGTGCAATAAAATGGATATTCAGAATAAGACAAAAGCTGTGAGGAGAAAAAGGAGAATACAGATAGTGTTTCAAAATAAAGTATGCAGTGGTTTGAAAAGGACTGGACTGTTAAGGGAATTAACCTTTCATTCTGTAATATAACTTGCCGAGAGCACTGCATTTTATATTTCGGTAACGATCTAGTCTATCTACTAATATTCACTATTATGCTAGCTTTTGTAGTATAATCACACAAAATCCAGAGTCAGTGAGGAGTAACAAGTAGCTCTCACTTTAGCAGAGGCAGACAAGCATAAGTACAGAACACAGAGAATAATTCCATTTGTGGGAACTGTTGCTAAATCCATTGGGATGGTCTTCCTAGCAATTTCTCACCAGCCGTAACTACAACAAAGAAATCGGGTTTGTTTTATGTTAATTTAACCTATAATCTGCTCCTTGCCTTAATAAACATATGAGACTTGGTAACAAAGAGAGAACACATACAACCAGTGGTACAAAAGTTCATTGTTTATCTGGATAGCAAACTGCAAGCCTCTTACATAGAACAGCAGTCCACATCATTAATGAGAAAGTTCAGCTATAGAATTAGCTGAGAGACTACTCAAAAAAGTCAAATAATGTAGTCCCACCCCATAACAATGTTTCCAGGAAGACAGAGCAACAGCACACTTACCACAGCAAACTCATCTTTGTCCAAGTGACCATCCTTATCAATATCACTAAGGTCCCAAACCTGAATGAAAGAGGAATGAAAATAAATAGGTCAACTAAACTCTTACAAATTCAGGGAGACAATTAACACTATAGACGAAATAAATTATATATTTATAAAATGAATCAACCTCAATGAATCATCCCAATAAAATTAAAATCAAACGCCCATACATGAACACTGAGTGTAATTAACAGCTGGAACAGATTACGAGGAAAGGTGGGAGAGTCCTTTTATAAGAAGGAACAGCTTGGTGTTGTGGTAAAATTAAACCAAATTGGCTAAAGATCGTTCTCATCTGAACATTTCCTGTGATCCTATTAATTATCAAGATAAGACACTATCTATCCTGTGTGATAGGTGCCATAACAAACTGGTTGTGGTAACTTTTCACGTCAGTAGTAAAATTTTGGGGCTTCACCTCGGAGTGCTGGTTTCAATGGCTACCAGTAGATTTCCTCTCGTTGTCTATCATTTACTGGTCTAAGCAAGGAGACGAAAGACGTTCAATATCATTCTCCTGCTAGATGATCTCGCATTTGACTCCTCACGGGGGAAAAAAGGTTTCCTGGATCACTTATGGTACCCAGAGTGAAATGTAAGTTTTCTCCAACAAGGAAAACCAAACTGACTGAGATGCCACGGAAAGGTCTTAAAAGGGGTAAAGTATTAAAGGGACACAGTAATGGAATTTTCTTTTCCCAGCAGAAAACCTATAAGTGCCGGAAACTCAGCAGTATGTGAATAACTTGACAATCACGGTCAGGGAATAAGACAGAACAATTTAAAAAAAAAACACTTGAGCCCAAAATATTTCTAGTGCATGAAATGGAAGTGGTTCAAATTTGGAACGAATACTGAAAAAATATAACTCCACCAGCAATCCGAGTACTCTCTCCAGCCTCGCCCCTCACCTCTGAGATCAACAAATGTGCCTTGCCAGGAACATTCACGAAAAAACAAAATCTAAACTAGTTTTGATTCTGGTGTTAGAACATATATTGCAGTGAACAGCAGTAGAATGCAATTTATAATATCACCTCATTAAGTGTTAATTGAATTAAGCTATAATCAGCTGTTGTAAGCACAGATGAGTCACTAAGTTGTTTTGATAAATTGCTGCCTTTTTTGTCTACTTTTTCCACTGTACAACTCCACGGGCTGGTTGCTCCCCGTAGCTAATCTATGCAGCCATTCTTCATTCATGTGCCTTGACAACGAGTGCTGTTGGCAGAGTATTCAACTCAGGGACACCACAGCAGAGCTCAGTCCTCACTTGACCTCCATACAGACACGCACCTTTCAGCAGGGATCTCTGGACAGTAATCAGTAGCTGGAACCCTGGCTGATTTTCCTGGCTACTTGTGAAAAGCCAATTCCAGCATCCCAAAAGTTATCACAGCAGAGATCAACAGACAACACATTCAAACTTGTAGCTTTCCTGTCTGTATGGCTTATAGCACTATATGGGACAGTGCTATTGGGAATGACCACTGCCGCCTCACTGTTTTGGCCTCATCTAATCTGTATCATTGTTTTGAAACGTTATCGTTTTGAAGCAATACTTGTTTTAAAAATGATGAACGCACATAAGATTAGCAAAAGTTGGCACTCACGGTGATAACACATGCGCCAGGTACAACAACATTCTTTCTTACCCTTCCCAAGACGTCCAGAGGTAGGTTCGAGTTCATCAGCACAGGCTTGACCTTATCTCCCGAGAGGAGGCCGTTCAATGGAGTCAAACTTTCAAAAATACCATCAAATTTGGCTTTCTCCTCGGGCTGTGCAATAGGAAAGAAAAAAAAACAGGGAAATTGCCATTCCGATGTTTGAATTCAGTTCAACCACCTCCCCATAGATCCAGTGTAACAAATTTCCAAATAACTAACATTAACACACAAAAGCAAACAGTAGGATTTCTGTTCATGCCATTTGCAAGGAGTGATTCAAATTTGTGCTTTAAAAGAACCTGAACAAATTATATAAAAATATATAAAATAACAAATATGCCACACCTTTCAAATAAACGTAGGAAAGGGACAATGAGTAAACATTACGTCCTAGCTTCCATAGCTCCCACCTCTACTCATTTTACTCACTGTTAAACTATATTATACAATTTAGTCAAGATGACTCCACTTACCCTTACTGCCCAATGCATCTCTGTAGAAGGGGGTACAATTAGCAAGGGACTGCTAGTATCGTGCTGTAAGTAAAAAAACGATTTGATTATTAACATGATCCACAGAGGGGCCACATAATGAATATGTGCTGGTCGGATTAATTCAACAAATGAGTATCAGTGAAAAGATCCTCAACTGCACACAGTAGCAAAAACTCCACTCCAGCAGTAACTATAGATCTTATAAACCAACACACTCACCCAGCTATATGCTTTTTTAAAGCGAGTGAAAAGATAAACCATTGGGTACAAAAATGAGAAATGTTTTAAACCAGCAAATCTGTTGCACATTTGATTAAAATCAACAGGAATGGGAGCTTACAGTGTTATGAATGCAGGATAGTTAAAAGTAAAATTGTTGGACGAGTTTAAGCACTTCAGCTCAGAGTACATCTGCAAGTTCTAGAAAACTTCTTTCTTAAAAAAAACTTAGTATAAAAAAGTCAGGAGTTTGTTTTGTAGATACTTACAAATTTGGGTGGTGGTAGCGTCACATTAAGACTGCTCAGGCTAACGTCGTGGCCATTCTGTGCACATGCTACCAGGCGTAAGGCAACATAAAAGCCCTAAAAAGTAAGCCAAGATGAATAACAATAATATTAATACTTGCATTTGATATACCGCCTTATCACGTCATTGAGACATCTCAAAACACTTCACAGAATATACTGTAAAGTGAATTGACTGTATATTGTGTGGGCGAATCAGGGTGCAATCATTACATCAGAACCAGAAAATCTCCACTTTAACGTACCGGTTTTTCCAGGTAGCCTTTGCCTTCAGGATCTGCCAAATCCCAAATCTGCAAAGCATAAAAAAGGATTATACAGATTCTGCATTCAGAGGGTCAGAAAGAAAGTCCGCGTGTGCGTGCCTGAGGTATATGCCGAGTGCAGACACACGTTGACAAACATGCTTACATACAGCAAGCTTCCATTTTCAACCTAGTTAGCAGGCTGAAGTGCCCAAGGATAAGACATTCATCACCACAGTGGTTTGAGTGGCCTTGGCAGGTCATAGCTGAAACAATGGTGAGAATGTGACGATTGGTCAGGTGTGTTCATTGATCAGCACTAAAATAGCTTACAATACCATCGGCAGCACAGAACTCAGTTCTGATCAGCAGCATGATCTGCTGTAAAACAACAACAAGATTGCATTTATAGAGCGCCTTTCACGTCAGGAGGACGTCCCAAGGCGCTGGACAGTTGGGTCAGGACCCGAGCATTGGGGGGAAATGGTCAGGGGGAGGGAAGGGAGGGAGCGAGGAGGGGGTAGAGAGTCGAGAGGGGAGCTGAAGGCACGGTTGAAGAGAAAACTGAGTCACTGCCATCAATTAGGAAGGAAAGAAATCAGACTGTCTCCACTGTCACGGTCACCCTCCAGATCCCTATCAAAGAGGCCATTTTTAATGTGTGCATATCAGCAGGCTATTTAACCTCTGGGGTTCTCCAGCTGAGTCTGATCCTTTCATCCAACAACCACATCTGATGTTTGAGTAATGATCTTTCAATAGATGCAGGGAGAGAAATCCCTGGCTGATATTCCCTCCCGAACCCAGGGAGATAAAGCCTGTTCCTCCAGGCGAGATCAGCTCACTCAGCTCAGCACTACCGAGTCAAAGGAACCCTTTTATTAGCTTTAAAGATATTAATACAGAGCATGACTGCACATACTATACTGTGGTCCATGAGATTGAAGGTGATGGAATTGGAGACACTGGATATTGACTCGGGATTTAATTAACCTCTTTGGGCTTTGATGCCCCTCAGCTGTTGCTTGGCTGTTTCCATTGAACAAACCAATAACCATATATTACCAGTTGTAATGAGTGTTTCTGTGCTCAAACAGGCCAAACGGCAACTGAGACAAGCCAAGTGCTTCAAGCAGCTCACAGCCTCCTATTCTGACAAAAAACGTGACAGAAAATGTATTTCATAAATGGTTAGACAGATTTATAATGAAGGACTGCAACTACTGAGATCAATCTGGGAATGCTGCTTTACACACTGACCCCAAGTCCCTCAGTCAACAGTAACGTCAGCATTCAATCATCTAACAGAAATGCCTTGCTGGCAAGGGATTGATAAAGCACTTATTACATTTTTACTAATGCGTCCATAAATTTTTGTTTTCACGGTAATTTGACAAGTTGCAACTATTAGATGCCATTAGTCCATTACTATATCCTGCAAAGACACAAACTTTTGCCCGAGTTAACAAGTTAGTTTGAGATATAGAATACACATAATTTCCAGTGTCTAAGAGTCCAGTTTCAGTTTAAGTCACAAAGTACAAATATGAGTATTGCCTTTGCAAACTGCTACTTCCTTCAGGTAAACAAATTATTTTAATGCATCATATTTCAGTTTTTAGTCTCATCTGAAACCTCAGATAAAGTACTTTCTTTGTAAATCATTCCCAGAATCATGCATATTTTGCTGACTATCAGGGAGTGAGTTGGAGGCGGTACCCACATAAAAAGATGTAGACAATATATTCATAAACTCTCTTATCAAGGGGCCCTGTTATGTATCCCCTCCCCTTACCCTGACCATTACCCCCCTGCTCGGGTCCTGACCCAACTGTCCAGCGCCTTGGGACGTCCTCCCGACGTGAAAGGCGCTCTATAAATGGAATCTTGTTGTTGTTGTATAGTAGCTATGGTTCAGTTTAGATGGCTGTGTTGGCTCAACACAGTTATCAATTTAGATGCCATTAGATGCAACGTGTATTACTAGGAGCTTTACACAAAAACATCATGATCCTGTCATAAAGATAGGATATTCAAATCCCTTCATGCCCTGGAACCTCCCTATCTCTCCAACCTGCTTACTCCCCAACCCACTACCTGTTGCCCCCGATCGGCTGGCTCCGGCCTCCTGCTTGTCACTCGTGCCCTGCCCTCCATTCCATCTTTGGTGGCCGTACTTTCAGAGAGTACGCCCCCAAACTCTGGAACACTCTCCCTCAATCCTTCCGCCTTGCCCCCTCCTTCCCCATCTTCAGGTCATGCCAGAGGGCCTTCCTCTTCAACTGTGCTTATGGTCACCTCCCTCCAGCTCGGCATTGTGCTCTGCCACTGTCAAGCGCTCTGGGACGCAAATGCAAGTTGTTGTTTATGGCAGAATCATAATACAGGAAGGGAATATTAACCCACACTCAGCTAACTTCCCCTTTTCTTCCTCTCCCCACTCCTCCCCTCATTACCACCAAAAAACACCTTGATCCTGAACCATTCAACAATGCAGATAGAATATGCCACGCCAGCACATTTACTGCATCAGTGTATACTGCCCGTGCAGTAAGGAAAATAGGGAGCTCTAACAGTATGTAAACCATTGCAGAACACTGAAGCAAAATTGAGAGAATTCAAATCATCACCAACACTTCAATCACTTCACAAACGAACTGGATGATTTGGTCGCAGCCAAGCTGTGAAGAGTTTCAACAGTGAGGTTTTTTTTTTGAACATCCCTACTTAAATCGCATTGACTGATGGTTTCGCAATACGTTTGCAATGCATAACTTAATATTTCCAGTAGATGGCACTCGGAACAAGCCTGCTCAGAAATGGAGCATCACGATTACCAGACAGAACCTAAATCGCGAAGTAATGGATCAGAACAAAAAAGGCCCAAAATGGCATTGTGGTGGAGCATTCATATGAAAAAGACAGCTTTGTGTGTGCTTTTAGCGAAAGTTTAGAAATGGCTTTTTTGTGAGCTCTGGCTCAGCAACTCCCAGGTCATTCGCTGTTAAACGGCTGATTGCTCTGATTCTGGGAAGGTGGAAAGCACTTGCACCATTGCCAAGAAGATGATGCCTTGACATGAATTCTCTCAACCACATTCTCTGTTGGCAGACATAGAAAAAGGGGTTTGCCAAGATTTCTTCTTTTTTTTAAAATTGGCACATTTTAAAGACAGGAACCATTACCGCGCGCGTTAGTGATTGACGGAGCAGGAAATGTCAAGGATTTGCAACCCGTTACACAACAGCTCTCAAGTGAAAGCTGTGTGGTCAGCATCTCAGCCCAACTCGCTGCGGATGAGTTCACAACACAATTGTCATGTTTTGGCACTAATTGACAGCAATTCAGCAATCTCCCTCAGGAGTCACAAAAGGCAGTCACAAGAAACAGTCAGTGCACAAAATAGAATTGCCACAGCGGCTCAACTGAACCCATCCTTCAAAGCTAGCAGTTGAGTTAGGTTGCCAGTAAGACAGGATTGGGAGGAGATCTTACACACTGTCACAATCATGTCACGCTAGGTAATATGTGGAAAATATTACTTTTCCTTATGAATCACCCGTCTTCTTGACGGCTTATGATCCCGAATACAGTGTAAGAAAGGAGCACAAATAGAACGTAAAATCAACTTTCCTGTAGCAACTTGCATAATAGTCAGCTCCATACTATTTCCTATACAGGGTCTATAGGAAACAATATTTTCAGCACCTTTTCACAACAACAACTTGTGTTTATATAGTGCCCTTCACGTTGGGTATATTTCATATATATAGGAAAGTCTCTTACAAATCTAGGATAAAAGAAATTAAAATATTTTTTTTCTCCAGATTGCTGATGGTCAGAAACACTGAGCAAGTGCAAGGAAAGTTAAAGTGGCCGCAAATTTAAATGTTATTTTACCACTGCAACCTTTGTGACGTACAAACAGTTGACGACCTTGAAGGTTTTGTTTGTAGGGACTGCTGGGTCTTACCTTTCCCAGGGTAACATCTGAAAGACCAGATTTTTTCAGGAACAATGCTGCCTCGTGGGGCCCAACTTTTCCTGTATGCGCTGGATCCACCTGCGTAAGAAAAACAGTCGTTTAAGATACTGATCAGTAACCCACTCAGCATTACCAAAATCACCAAACTACACAACCATCACTACCTGAAATGAAAAACCTTCGAAACAGAAACATTTTTAGCTTGCACAGGAGAACTATTTTCAGAGATGTGGTGTATTCGATGACAGCTTTGTCAATGTGAATAATGGTCACCTGTGGCTGTGGTTTTGCTCTCTGAGACACTGACAATTGCACTTTTTTTTCAGAATACAGTTTAACATTTAAATCCTCGAGCACTTATGGCTCAAAGATCTTGCACTACAGACAAAACTAAGCTATGCAGGGCAGCCCTGTTATAACTTTGGGTACTAGCACAAGTTCCCTTATAGTGCTGGTATCTTGTGATAAACCTAGCTTCCCGCAAGACTGACCAGCTTCCTGCTCCAAAACAGGGGTTGACTTTAGGGTCATCAGGACAACATTGATCACTTTTAATGCAATACTCAGCTATTGCTCCAAAACCTAGGCCTCAGCTAATTAATGCTCTGAATCAACTAATGCTCTGCAACCCAGGCCTCAACTAATACTTTGTGTCACAAAGACACTGGAAATGTGTACAACAACAACAACAAAATTACATTTATAGAGCTTCTTTCATGTCGGGAGAACGTCCCAAAGAGTGTACAAGGCCAACTCTGGGAGACTCGTTTATTTCCTGTCTGATCCCTCAGGTAAGGGGAAACTAGAAAGCCACAAGTTGCATATATATATAATATATATATATTATACACAGTTGGCCTCCATTATTCTGTGGACCCAAACCGGTGTTTTAAAATGTGGTCCAACTGTATTGCCTTTCACCTGATTCTTTCCACTTAAGCTCCAGTTAACTCTGGAAGCCAAAGCTCTAGGATGTTTCCAGCTGGGCAAGTAGCAGAAAGCTGTGCATCATTCCAGGGAAAGACTAACTTTCAGGAGTTTGTCTCTTTCAGAGACTTTTGAGCTTGGTGATGGGTTTTCATACGTGTCAAACATTTAGCTGACGAGGAAAAAAATATATAGCTTCTCACAGTAAAATGACTTGAATGTTTAACAAAAAGTTATTTTCAAGAACCAGTAAATGTTCTTTTGTAGGCAGAACCAACAGTTAATCTGCGCTAGCAACATCCCCAATGCCCACACCTCCACTTGGCACCTATCTCAACAAACCAAACATCACGAACAGTACGTGCAGGACTTGAACACATATCAGTGCACTATCAATCCCGTAACACTTATACATATCATGCCTCCCGCCAGCGAGATCACGCCCAGCTTCTAAATCGAAGAATCTCACTCACCTGCCGGTAGTAGGTCTCATACACAGGGTTCCCACTGGAAAGCTGCAAGAGAAAGAAGATAATTAATAAAATGTCATGATACCATCATCAGGGCTTCAACGGAAACTATTCACACTACACAAGGAAGGTTATCTACCATCCACATTCCCTACACCAGTCAATGAGTTACTTTTAGTAAAGCAACTGGACACAAGGGGACAAGATTTCATAGCTCTGAAATGGTGTTAAAATGCAATATTTGTAACTGAAGTTAGAATTGCATAATACATCCGATTTGATGAGATCCACTTCCTTTTACCACAGGCTGAAGTCATAATGTGGGGCTTGAAGCGAGTGCACGACCAACTGAGCCAAACTGGTCCTTAGCCGCACAGACAATAGAGGAGGTGCAGGTTTGATTTACAGTCTGTGCTCAGACAACCAATGCCAGTTAGGGTGGTCATTGATCTGCTACAATTAACCTCAGTAATCTGTGCTAGTGTGGAGAGAAGCAGAAAGACTGGAATTTCACTGCTGATTACTATCCAGTAAACTCTGCTGGAAAGAACGAGGGAAAATTGTAGATGCTGGAAACAATTGTGCCATTGATAGCTGAATATCCTACTGGCACTGCTGTCCACGTTCACACACAAAGCATGCACGGTTAAACCCCAAGAGGGCTGCCAGTACGCATTTTACCCACAAAATATACAGGCAATTCACGTTACAGTATATTCTGTGAAGCGCTTTGAGACGCCTCGAAGACGTGATAAGGGCTATATTAAACACAAGGATTATTATTATTATTATAATTATAATACCCAATGAATGGTACCCTTGCAATGAGACATTGTCCACAGGCCTAGGGAAAGGTAAAGAAAAAAACTTAGAGAAATATTTGAAAAATTGTTAATTTAACATTATGTTTAAATATAATTTTTGTTGAAATTGTAAGCTTAAGAACTACGCAGAAACATCACGGTCTTGAGCCTGAGAGGGAGAAGAAATGAAAAAATTCAAAGGGAAATAAGGGTTTCTCCTCCTCACACTACTACACTCAATTTTTGTTCACAACTTTGGAAGAATCATCAACAACAACCAGCATTCATATAACGCACTTCACGCAGGAAGCATCTCAGAGTGAATGCTTTTCAATGTTCCAGTTCCTCAAAATTAGAACTACAGAGTGCAGCAAAAATGGCATTTTTTTTGTTTTCCTCATCTTGTACAAGTATTCAAGTTTGTTAAAATCTCATTTTGCAAGAGTACGTTACAAAATCAACAATCTTCCCTTCCCCGCACACATACACACGCGCACACACACACACACAGAAATCCCCCATCACTTTATACACATACACACACACTTTATGGATGTCCTTGTCACTGAAACAGATTTAAACACATTGTTTCCGGCTTCTCCAGCTTGAAGGGATAATGGTCCTTTTAATACAACGGCAAAAACATTCTTTTTAAAAATCCGTCAGCATTTGTGTGTTGCACCTATGTATGCATGCCACCTATACATGGAAATTTCCGTGTCACACATTCCTCTCTTACCTAATTGTGTAGGTTTCCTACGAATAGTTTTGTCATTGAGAGCAGTCTGGCAAGCTTCCTGCTTTCTACCTCTAGGGTTATGGCTCCCCGTGACCAGTCAGCACTTTCAAGTCCTGTAAATGAGTCAGGCTGGCTGGTCTGGATTACTGGGTACGCACCTGGCTCAGGAACCATACGACCGACACTGCCACAGAAAGCTGACTCTATTCCAATATTCCACTGCCAAGCACGTAACCTGAATCTAGGTATAAATGTACAGCACTAAAACTGCTCATGACTGGGAAAATAATGATCCGTTTATATTAAACAATTCCATTATTTCCCCTAGCCAGCCAGTGACTTGCCTTGGAAAGGCATCAGAGAACCCACAACACCATTAGGTACTTCCCCCCCACCCCCCAGTACCCATTCTTCATGTCTCAGCTGAGATTTGACCGGAAACGTTAGCGGATTCAACCGTGAGGGAAAATCACAGTCAATCTTGATCAGTCCTCACTTGACAACCCAAAATCCTTGGATACCAAGTTAGAATTGTGAACACTGGCTGATTCTTCCTCCTCTTATATGACGGACAGTGAAACTCTGTTGCCCACTGTCTGAGATCAGATAACACAATGCTCACCGCAGAGACGAAACATACAAACTGTATGACTCAGCTCCAGACTCAGCATTGCACTTACCAGCAGAACCTTTGCAGGATCTCAAACAGGAGATGTTTCATTTTGCTGCAACTGCAGAATACAAAGGCTAAGGTTACTGTGCCCTTCTGTTAATTTATTGGTTAATTCACTCATAAAATTTCCATGAGAAACCAATGCTGCCCAATGACTGAGTCAAACAGATAACTAACGAAACACACTGATAAATGCAGTGCTAAATTTAGTTCAGTGTTGGGTTTCAGTGAATGCAAAATTCAGTGCCCATTGAGTGAAATCTTCAACCTCTGGTGCACAATGTTTTTCTGTCCTAATACAAGAGACAATTCAATCACCTCTTCCTTCATACTCTATCTACACATTTTTACCATGCCATATCATCAATATAATAAAAGTGCCCATTTCTCACAGATTCACACCCTTGTGTGCGATCCCAGTTGCAGGCTTCAATTCAACCTTACTTCTGTCCACAAAGACCAAGCACGACAGAGCTGCTCTCCTGCTCCTCCCGGCATTTGATAAGCGACTCAGGCTCATATTCTCTTGATCCAACACGTAATTTCTCAATCAATCAGAACAGGAACTTTTGTGTAACAGAGTAATGGTATTCAATAAGAGCAGTGCGACAGCTTCCTTAGGATGCCTCTGCTCCTTCTGCCTATTCAACGTTAAAATATTAATGTCCAAAAGGAGATGGCATTAAAGCTGACAGTACCCAAGCAATTGCTATCATTAGTTAAGTAATACCTTTGTTTTGTCAGCACCCGACCTGCCCCAGTTGAATACAACTTATCACAGATGAGAGACGTAGCAGCTTCTTCTTAGGTGGAGCTTTAATAATACATTTTAATAATAATAATAGATCACCAAATAAATAAATATTTCTTCCCCTCCAATTTCTACTTTCCTCCAAGTGCCAATATGAGATGGGGCAAAGCTTCTGTGGTGTCATAACTTTCCAATACCTCACCAATGTCCGCACACATTGAATAGAGGTCAGTGTATGCAAACAGTCAATTCACTTTACAGTATATTCTGTGAAGCGCTTTGAGACGTCTCGAAAACGTGGTACGGCCCTATATCAAATGCAAGCATTATTATTATTATTATCAGAACCTGGATTTTTCACACCACAGCCCTAGAGACCAATTGCACCCTGTTGATATTCGTAATTCAGCACAGATTGAATCTGGGATTATCTGAGAGTGTGGCTCAGTTTCAATTCAGCAGCCCATTTAGCAAATGAGTTATTGGTGGAGCAAATGATTATCATCCATTCAGGGTTAGATTTAAGTAGGATATTTGAGGAAAAACTAGAGGCTGCACACAGGAGAACAAAATCCATCATTTGATTAGAATACACACAATTGTGTGAGAAGAAATGGGTCCAAATCCCCAATGCGTATTATCTGCAGACATTTTTATGAAATGAACCTCAGCTTCTTTTTGCATCCAACAGTGCGACTATCACCAAAGCCCCTGTTGTAATTAGTCAGGGGACATCAAGGAAATTTCTGTGGGAGTGTATGACAGAGGCAGATGAAGAGAATCTGACACCATTTTACATAGGGAAAGTTTTATCACACGTTTCAATTTGATTTGAATTAGAAAAACCCACAGGAAGAGGAGCTGCTATGCTGCTTTCAGGTGAATGTAAGAGCCTCAACCCACGATAAAAAAGAGAGCAAGCAGTAGCACGTTAACTTCAATTACCCATTGTAAGATTGATAGAGGGAAATGAGTGGCCAACGTTTTTTTTCACATTTTCTAAGTTAAGGGTGGCATGGTTGACTGTGTTGAACGCAGCAGAGAGATCCAGGAGGATGAGGAGGCAGAGGGAACCTGGTTACAGATAGAGAGAATGTCATTTGTGATTTTGACAAGCGCTGTTGGTAGAGCGAAAAGCAGAATTGCAGGAGCTCGAGGCGGGAGCGGTGTGACCAAAATTGACCTGCAACAATGCATTCCAGGACTTTGGCAAGGAAGGGTATGTTGGAGATGGGATTAGAGGGTTCGAGGATATTTTTTTTGAGGAGGGCTGTGATGACAGTGGTTTTCAGGGGGAGTGGAACAGAGCTTGAGGAGAGAGGCTGGTTAACCGTGTCGGCCAGCACGGGGGAGAGAAGGGGAAGTTGAGTGACCAGCAACTGGGTGGGGAGGAGGTCGAGATAGCAGGTGGTGAACTTCATCCAGGTGATTGCGGTTGAGAGGGAGGAGGAAGAAATGGGGGCAAAGGAGTGTAACGATTGGGGAGTGGCAGGAGCAGTGGCGGAGGTAGATGGCGGTGTGGATGGTCTGGGTGGAAAGGGACATGGGGGGAGGATGATGCAGCCAAGTGGATGATTTAAATTTTTTAGGCGAAGACGTCTAGGACCTCTTCAAAACAAAAAACAAAGCTCTCACAAACATTCTCTCATCTACAGAAGATCGAAACAAGTAAACTGATACGGAAAATTTTCCTTAGCAACGACTGTAAAATGATAAAACATTAATGACACCATGAGTCACTTCGACTGAGGCAAATATAGAAAGAACATTAAGTTTCTACTCCAGAAGACACTACACAAAAGAAATATATGCACTTATGTTAAAAAAAACTTAGTTGTAACTAGTTAAAACAAGGAAAAAGTATGAAGTTGACAGACACTGACCTGAATCTACGCAATGGATGCAGGTATTTAAACATCCCTTTTGCTGGATACCATGAGCACAATGCTACGGACCTCAGGTTAGTGGCTGGGCGGGTTGTAGCAGTGGCATAGAACGCTGAGATACAATCTATACTATGAGGGATATAAAGCTGTATAAAGCTGTTGCAGAAAATAAACTAATAATGCTGCAGTACCAGACATAATTAAACTTCATATTCAACATCATTCCTGGCTACCTTTCTTCCGATTCACTCGTCCTTGCGACAATACCGGCAAAACCGTTGCTCTCTGACTTCAAAAGCTACAAACCATTTCTCAGCTGAAGATATCAAGAAATTACAGAATGGCGAAGAATTTTTTTTAAAAGGTTGTTCTAAGAGCTATCTTATTGACATGCTTCCAGGTCTTTGTTTTTCCAAATAACCAAGAATATTTGTAGTTATACAATAATCCTTGCATTTGATATCGTGCCTTATCATGTCTTCAAGACGTCTCAAAAGCGCTTCAAGCGATACACTGTGGAGTGAATTGACTGTATATTTTGTGGGCAAAATATTTTATGGCAGTTCCACTACTAAAACGCATAGAACATCTTCAAATCAGATCCTTTCCTGCCAACTTGCATTAACTTTTTTTTAAGATCAACCGCAGAAAGCCACATCTACCTTCAAACCCCAGCCTCCATATCTTCAGGCCTTTCTCATTAACACTCACCTCACACTCTCAGCATCCCTGGCTCACATTCAAGAGAACATGTACTAGAACTGGGGCTAGCAGTCACTGTACGCACTGCCTGTAAGCGTATGCCTGGCAGGGATATCATTTTCCTTGGAAACGGATGTACCATACACGTCAATCTAGAAAGGATTATAGTATTGTGATCAGCGAATAGTGCAAAAGCCATCGGATTTGGAGGTTAATCGTTTGAACATAGCAAACCTCTTTCCACTTTGTGAATCTGACAGCTCTAAAGACAATCACTGTTGCCGTC